CCGGTTGTGGAGCATCCCTGTAACGTTGTCCAGGGCCTGCGTGATTTTTCTTTTCCTCCACCTTTTAAAGAAATCCATGACTCTGTGACAGTGACATCAGCCAGTAAAAAAAAAAAAAACCCTACGGGAACTTCATGTGTGCAGACTCAAACTGGACTCTTTTTCTCCCTCTTTCCCCTCCCCACCTGGAACTGAGGCATTTTGGCATGTCAGGGGAAAGAGCCATGTGTGACGGTGACACTTAGCATCATGCTGGCTCCGGATGCGTCACGCCTGCCTGCTTCTTCTCGTGCTGAGTGGTCAGGAGTTTGTCAAGAAGCACTTTCTTTTGCTTCTGTGCTGTACTGCGAGCCGTGCACTGACTGGAATGGGCAGCCTGGATCTGACTCTTTGAATTTAGCTTTTGCATAAATATTGCCACTGAGTCTGGCATCCTGTGCTGCTTTTTGAAAGCAAGTAACCAGATCCCTTTTTTGAACTGTGCTCTCTCAAGATGGGTACACATACTTTTATATTCTTATGTCTAGAAGTCAGTTCTGATGGAAGACTTTCTGGGGAGAGTTTTTGACATAAGCGTTTTACAAGTGGAATTGAAAAAGGCATTATTTAAAGTTCTTGGAGTGCCTCTGAAGGGACAGGATGGCTGTGAGCATGGATGATGACGTTCCCCTCATCCTCACCCTGGATGACAGTGGAAGCAGCACCTCGGCCCCTCTAGATGACCTGGATCGGGAGGAGCTGCCTAATGAAAGTAAGATTGCTTTGTCGTTGTTTCCTGCCCGCTGTGATGGCCTCACTTGTTTTCCTCTTTGCGGTGGCCACTCTTTCTTGTGCTTGCCAGGACCTTTAACTCTCAGAGCTGTCATTCAGCATCCCAGCGGCTGCCTGAGAAAATCAGATCAGGAAGTTGCTTATTGTGTTGCTTGTTTACTCACAGCACCCATGTCACACTGAGAGGGCAGAGTACACGGGATAGATGGGTCCTAGCGACGCTGTTTCTAACATGCTTTTTTTGTGGTTTCCTTGTAAAAAACTGTGACCTTGCTGTCCTTAAGCTCAACTCTCATTTCCTGTACGTTGGCCCAGAGCGCCTCCTTTTCTTGGCACTGACCCGCCGTGCCGTACCACTGGCTCGAGCTGTCAGGTGCAGTGGCTGCAATTATGTCACGTAATATTTTCCTAGCGCCATAAAGCATCTGTCATTTGCGACTGTTGTTTGCCTAGTTCTAATTTACATTTTGATTTTGGCAATAAGGAAAGCGATAAGTGTTGATAAATCCCTTTAACGTCTTTATTGTATTCTTACCAAAGAACCTGGAGTAATTTTAGACCATATATTCATAATCCTGTTAGCCCCAGGTATTTAGTGGGACAGGGCCAGCCTATCAGCGTTGGGAGGGGGAAAACAAAAGCCACCATCTCTTAGAAGCATTGCTTTCTCCTCGATTTATCTTCATTAAAGCCATCTCCCCACACTAGGTGAAGAGCAGATGTATTTGAGTGTGTTCAGTGAGTTTCTGTTTTATCTTATACCTCACTGAATGTATTTGAGCAGTTTTGTTCAACACATCCCTTTGACTTCCAGTTGACATTGCAGGTATACGCACAGGTCTTGTGATCCTATTCAAGCCCTTGCTGCCACAAGCTTAACACTTGTAACAAATAAATAATTTCCTGGCCTGGCATCCCTTTTTTTTTCTACCTTACACCTCTGTTCCATACTGCCTCTGTGACTCTGTGATTTGATTTCTCTCTTGCAATCACATGGGTTCCCTTAATTTTCTCCTTCTGTGACTTGCTGAGCCAGTAGCTTGTTTCTGACAAGATTCCTCCTCCCTCCTCCTCCTCCTCCTCTCCCATCCCTGCAATACACATCCCTGGCTAAAGTGCCCAGTTGACTTTCTCTGCTTCATTGTGGTTCCTATTGCATCTGTTTGTCTTTTAAAGTTTAGCTCTCTATTTTTAAGTTAAATAGAAGAGAGAATGCTTCCTCTGTCCACTGGTGTATTTATAGGCTTTCTTGTGACTCATTTTAATCACTCTTCTCATCTTTTTCTTCCACCCACCTCCCATCCCTTTAAAGAAGAAGTTACATGAGGTTTATCATTTGGTGAAAGCAAACACGACTGTGTTAAAGCACAAGTGTGAGAATGAATGTATTAATAAATTTAAAAATTCCACAATATGCTTCCCTGGAAATACAGGGAAATTGTTTAGGGACCGATTTTTTGCTTCTTAAAAGATTGCTGTGTGGTTTTTGAGCATTCATTTCCTGGAATTCTTCAAATGAAGTGTCTCTTGGTATTGAAGAACCATTATTTTGGCTGTATGTTTTAATCACTGTTAAAGTTGAATTTGCTGAAAAAATATAAAGCTTATTCTATGCAAGTGATACCAAATGATATGGAGCCTTCTGAAATTAGTGGGTACTGCGAGAGTGGAATGAGAGATCAGAAGAGGAAGACTGGCATAAACAACTTGAAAGGCACATTTATCTCTGAGAAGCGGGAAGCTTAAATTAGTGAGGCAGCAGACTAACGCCATCACTTGCAAAAGTAAGCTTGTTTAAAAAACAGAACGTGTAGTCCAGCTTTCCTCTTGCCTGTGAAGAAAATCGACTGTGAAATGCAGAAAAGTTGTGTCTCATGGAGGCTGTGAGGAATTCTAATGTTTCCCCTCTGCTCTGCCTCCACTCCTCTGCTGAGGACTGAAATGATATTAGCAGAACTGTATAATTTTACATTTTTATTCAGAGGCTTGTCTTTTTCCGGGAAAGAGAGTATGTGAGAAGTCCCTTTCAGGACAGGGAGAGCCTGCCAGGGTGATGATGAGGGTGTGGGGACAGGGATGGTCAGGAGCCTTTTTCCTTCTGGTTTTGTCATCCTTTTGCCTAAACTCTCAAGGTAGAATATTCAGCCAGAATTTGGAGGAGTAGCTCACCTGTTTCTGTGCCTGGCCATGGACTCCTAGAGATTTGGTAGCAGGTTAAACACAAAGCTGATACCAGCTGGGACTGTTTGCAGTGAAAGAGCCATCATCCTCTTCCCAGGTGATACCGAGGGAAAGACAAAGTGGGTGTAACC